ACCATCAAGCTCTGGGACCCGGCCACGGGCGTCGAGCAGCGCACGCTGACGGGTCATTACAGCAGGGTCAGCTCGGTATTCAACGAATCTACTACCAGTTATTCCATTTCTGTTGCGGATTCCTGGATCTCTCTTCGAGATGAAAGGATCCTCTGGCTTCCTACTGATTATCGATCTTTTACGTGTTTTGCTATTAAGGATACTACGCTTGTCCTTGGATTACCAGATGGGCGCGTTCCAATTCTAAGACTTGATTTTTCCTAGGAAAAATTCTTTGTCCTCTACTTCGGTCTCTTATTTTCTAATCTCTTTCTAAAAGAAGGGCCTGGGATGTGCCAGGCCTATATACTAGTACTTGGCACAATCAGAACCGTCCCGTGACTTCTACATCATTTAGTAATCATGGCCAGTTTGCCACTTATACAAGTCTAGATGTTTCTATAAATTACCATATTCAGTACACGTTATTACACCACGGTGTGTATGTAATGGTAGATAATTATTCTTACCTCTTCCAGGTTAGGTCTAGTGTGGTTTCATCCCGGGGCTGCTGAAACAAACGAAGAGTGTAGGTACTGACTGCGGTATCCGGAAGCCCTTTACATACATAGGAGGACTTGCTTTGAAAGATTATTATTCAGCATGAAAATGAGAATATAGAATGCTTGGATGAGTACAATTGTCGATACAGCAAGATACAGTATATATTATAGATTTATACTTCTCTCCTAGCTTCTATAAGCAGTAACAAGATTCGAGGAGATGTAATCCAGGGCAAATGTCTCTACTACGGGTAAAAGTATATGGATATTAGTAACAGTTAATTTTAGTAAGTCTATGATCTAGCAAGAGTGAATAATTTATACTTGTATACAGTACTGTATATATATATTATATATTTAAATATGAAGGCTCATCTTACACCTCCTGCTGGATTATAGATTTCTTTTATTTACTTTTATTTAGAATATTTCCGATTAACAGTAATATTATCATAACTACAGCGTCAGTAACAACACTAGTTATTCTCAATGAAGCTCTTTAACATTCTATATAATATTTAGTTAGATATCAAGGACTTTCTGGTCCCATCAAATATTGAAAATATTCTGGATACCGGTCATGGCCTCTGGCAGCAGATCTTCAAAGATCCTTCTTAAATCAGTACTACTGTGAAGTCTGGTTAAAGTTCTCTAGTCCTTATTAGCCATAACTTAAGTTCCTTTTACTCTAGGAAGTCTTTAAACTATCTCTATCTTTCCCTTGTTGTGAATAATATTTCAGGTAATCTCTGTTATACTAGTCAAGCCTTCTTTTCTACGCTCCAAAACAGCTGGTGATATGATAAAGAAAAATTTAAAGTCTACTTCTCATCTGGCATAACCTTGAATATATACAATATCATTAATGGTGATGAGACGATAAAGCTATCTTTAAAGGGAATTTTTATAAATAAAAAACAGGACATCTACACGGAATACTGCTACTATAAAAATCTCTTGATAAGGGAACTGCAGCCATCCAATATTATAAAATAGGATTCTTCCTATAAAACAACCCCACATGCTTCTCTTAGTTGGTGGAATAGCTCTTTAAACAAGGATAGAAATATAAGAATAAGCTGTAAACTAACACTTCTGGATAGGAATATAAAAATAGTCTATATTATACTCCCGACACACTTAAAAAGAAAACTATGAGCGAAAATAATATAGAACAAGTATAGTTACCTGTCGCGCTATCTTTGCTTCTGGTTCCTTATATTTACTCATATTTTATAATAATCTTAATTATTTTAGAATAGCCATACCCTACATCGAAAAGACAAGCTAAATCAAGATTTTCTTTGAAAATGAATTAGACCAGTCTTCTAATCTGAATAATTCTGAATCTAGATTATACTATATATAATATATTATACCATCCGGCAAAAGTATACACAAGTAATTAACTTTTCTAGATATAATATCACAAAGGATCTTTCTATAATAAATATATATACTAAGTCCTAGTCCTCAAACATAAGAATCTCCATACATGTTCTGCTGATAACAAAGTATTTTAAACTCCTATAAATTAATAAAGCCAGCCAATTTATTAGCAAGATTATTTAATATTCTACTTAATTCAATATTCAGAATCAATCGCAGACCTTCTAAAGATTAAGATTAAAGAAAGTGATTGAACACGAGTTTTGTCTCTATAATATATAAATTATAGCCTGGAATTTAGAAATAATATATACTTGTCTTTTTTAACTTACTAGATTAATTATATTATATACTCTGTGACCAGAACTCTGGCTTCCCTCTTATTATTAACTAACTTCTCTAATAATTAATCTAGTTAATCTAATATAATATTATAACCCAGAGTTCCTCATAACTGAAGCTAGTTGCTGCAGAGATTTTATTCTTGATTTCTGTAGAATCATTACTAAAAACAGACTTTTACAGTAGTTAAGAATCTATAATACTTTCAGCCAGGCTATCATCTAAAGCTCAGCACTCTCTATAACCTGATCCCATAGTATATTAGTCTTAGAGATAAGAGCCTGAGATACTTCTAGTAGTCATTATCTTAATAGAAATAATATATAAGATTAAAAATATGAATTCTTAATATCTCCAGAGACAGCTACACAATACAGGCAGTCTCTAATATTAGACTATGCAGTTACTTGTCTTCAGTACAATAGGTATCAATGAAAGTACAGGCTCTAAATACTAAACTATATAAGTCAGTGTAAAATTTCTAGAATATTATACAGAAATTGTTGAAGTACACAGAAATATAAAATAAAGATACCTGTTGGTCCATTTAGTACAACAGTCTATAGAATAAATAAATGTCCCAGAATATAGGCCCTATTATTTAAAGCCAATCTGCAGTGAGAATTTTCAAGTTAGAAGAGATAGAATAAATAATAGGCCATATTTACAGTATATTATCTCTTTGAATAGAAGGAATAGCCATTATTATAAGAATTAAAATATCTGTTAAAAAAAAAGATATTAATATAAATAAAGAAAGAAACAAGCTATATATTATCTTATGTTTTTCACTTCTGTATTTCCACAATACATAAGTCCATAGAAAGTCAAGATAGCCTGACACCAGTAATATATAAGCTTCATATTAACAGATCTTAGCTAGCTTTATCAGCTCTGCCAGAGCTATAGCCAGTAATACTTTAATAATAACAGAAATAAGATATTTAAGAATTACAACAATTTCTCTTTCAATCTCTAACCCTGCCTGACCTTGTATAGCATTATATAATCTTACTAAGATTACATAACTGCTATTAACATAGACTTCTGCTAAGTCTATATTTAGTAATAGTAATATTCAGATAATAAGTCCAGTAATAAAATCAGAAGAATTATCACTTTCAAGAAGCTCACATGAACAGTCAGAGACTGGAGTTAAATTAAGATATTACAGAATATTCTTAATTTTTAATAATCAGATTATCAAGAATAATTGCTATTTTAGACATAAAAACTGCACTTAGATAGAGGGATACCTGGAAATTTAATTAAATTAATAATAATATTAAGAATGTTATCTTATATTGTGTTTATGTAAAGTTCAGTCATATCTTATTTTTTAATATATTATCTTTAGTCTAGTAACTGTAGAACAGGTACTAGAAGTACAAGATAAATAAAGTTATTTACTAAAAGAATTACTAGAATTTTATATTAATACAGCAGTAAACAATCCTGTAAGAATATATTATTCTTTCTAGAATCTCATGATTATCTATACCAATGCACACTAAATCTCCTAGGCTAATAATATTTTTATAATTAGATTAAGACATATATCTGGCCATATCCAGTCTATGCCAGGATGTCTATCTAGTACTAGTAATTTTATATGTTCGTCTAAATTACTGCTACAGGAAATAAATCTTCTAGATAACCAGTCTAACTTCAGACAGAACCCTGGAGTTCTGTTTTATACTAGTTAACCTCATGCAGTATCTATCTAACATCCCGAAACAATCCCATTAGCTCATATTTTCATGGCTAAAAAAGAAAAAGTTCCCAGGAGCTAATTTAATTATTTGGTATTCCTGGTGTACAAGCCAATTACCTCTATAAATATATCCGTGTATACTGTGTATAATATATATAATATTTTCTATTTATACTTATCAGGCAAGCAGCTGTAATTAAAATATTTTTAAATAGAAATATATCTATACAGAACATATCTGTAGAGCTTATTATCCTGGTTTTCTAAAGTCTAAATAATATAAATAACTGCTTGTCTTTCTTTTATATATATAAACAGTTCCATAGGATTTTCCAAAGATTTTAAATTATAATATTTAAATTAATTATAATACATCTGATTACTTCTTCCTGAATATAACTCTTACTAAACTCATTCTTTCTGCTAATATACCTGGGCAGATTAATATAAAATATTATAAATATAATATCAAGCTAGACCTTCTTCAGGATATTTATAAATATCATAATCTAAGGAAAATATTTCTTGAACCTAAGATAATATATAATGAAGTCAAAAAGCCTGTAGTCTCTCAGATAAATATTAATCAGATAATTAAGATTATTGTCCAATAGCATGCCATGAAGATTCTTTATAATCTATATAAAAATTCCTCAATACACTTCTATTTCATTTGAGTAATTACAGTGATTTATCCTATTATAGATAATAGACTCTGTGATTATATTACTGAAGAAGCTATACTAGAATCCAAGGATTTTAATTATATACTGGACTATAGATATAAATATACAGAATATTCTTAATTTTACCATATATTGACAGCCCACTGGATACTGATTAAAAAGATCTGATTTATAAAGATAATACACTACAAATTATCCTTTATTTAAAATAATTATTATAACTAGCTTTAACAGCTATAGACAGATAATCCGGACAGGTCTCTTCAGAAGAAGCTGAATTTAATTAAAGTTATTAAATTTATATAGAAATATTTAGGATATAATATCTTCAAAGAAAGATTTATCTAGTTATTAGACTAGGTTTCCTAAGCTGATCTAGCATAATTTACTAAATATAAAACTTCTAACTTTATATGAGTATCTTTTATTACTTAGATTACTCAGGAATTATAACCACCGCATATCATAGAGTTCTTATTTTTAAATTAGAACTCTGAGATAGCATAGAAAATTAATCAGCTAACTTATCTGTACCAGTTAGACTTTCTTATAAAGTCTCAAAGTATAGAAGAAAGAAATAATACAGATTAACCAGACACATAATTCTTATTAAATATTTTGGATAAAGATTATCAACAGCTTGGTTAATATAATTAGCAGTAAAGATTTTTATAACTTATGCAAGAAGTAATAATATAACTATAAAAATATACAATAGCAAGATAATATGCAAGAATATATACTTAGATATAAGATAATATCACAGCAGCTTTTTG